TGGGAGGCCCATCAGAGCATTAATGGTGTAATGGAGCTGAAGATAAGACAAAACCTCACTCTTAAATTTAGCAAATGAGTGCATACAAATTGGGCTAAGCTGTAATTTCACAAGACCACAACCAGTCGTTGAAAATCTTCGGGTCAAGACTTCTCGGAGGCCTGAGTGGCCCACACTGTCCAGTCCAGAGTGGAAACTGATTGTTCAGGAAAGCACAGATGTTAGCAGCTTAACAGGCTGATGTCCTGTACTGTATGCAAACTTGCATTGTTTAGAAGGCCCATGTTCTGAGAAGACGATATCGTTAACTGGATCTTGGATTATTTAACGACACTTTTACAACTACACTGCCTATATGTATATGAATGGGAAGATGATATAAATAGTGAAGGAAAGAGCCATGACCTATCTATTTTAGCATTTACCTGGAGAAACTACAAAACCATAAAAAGCAACAACCAGAAGAGCAAACTCCAAACAGGTGGCAACTATTACTAGATCAGCGTGTAAAAATTAATAATGCTGAGAAGATAGATTCAGCTGAATATTTGCCTTGATTTGAGAGCAGGTGTGCAGAATGTTGAATGTAATATTTTGAAACACAGCTTCCATCAATTTCACAACAAAATATAGCAGTTTTTCTTCAATCTCTCATTGCTGTTAATGATGTAAGTACGACACTGTACTGCAAACTCCACAAATAGAAATTAAATACTGACACATGACAATGGATTATGGAGAAGACCTGTTCCATTTATTTCTCAGCCCACCCTGCACATGACATCCCATGTTACTAGCAATTTGCTTACAATAACGCCAATGCTTCATCATTACTAACAAAATATAATCTACTGCTTCTTGGCACTGGATCCACTATGTGAGTTCCTAACATGGTCTGTTTTACTACATTCTCATTATTCCTGTAGAATCAATATAATTATTGTCACAGTTATGTGGAGACTTCCAAGTACCGTCTGCATCTAATTCGTCAATAATATTGTCACATGCAAGAAACTATTTCTGCCATCTTAAACTTCAGTTGGCTTCAGTATAATTCAGATATTTTTGTTCTTACAAGTCACCTAAATGGAAATAACTATAATCATTAAAGGTCCACTGTAATAGATAAATTTAAAACACAAATAATATCTAACGCTGACAATAATTTAAACAACTGAATTCGTGTACTAAATATTTATATGAGATTTGAGGCTCTCACAATCATGATATTGGTGTCGGCCTTTGCGGACTCGCAAGCTGATATTAATGTTTCTCTGAAATGCTGGTATTTGCCTAAAAGATGGAGACAGTGTGTTTTCTAAAACAATGGTATCCACCTTCAAGTTCACACAGTGATACAACCTAGAAGCCCAACAATGATATTTGTTTATTGCTTATTTAATGACACTGTCAACAGAAATGATTATATAGTACCGAGTCAGAGGATGGTTACTAAACAATAAATTAGAAATTATATGAAAGAAATCAATAAATAACAAACTAGAGAGGATACAGAAGGAAGATATCACGGCCTAATTTAAGATATTATCTTGGCATTTGCCCAAATATACTGAGGAAAATCATGATAATCACCAGCTACAATAACTGATTTCTGGGCTGAGACTTTAACCCTGGACTTACTAGACATGAAGCGGAGTGCTGAATATTTGACTGTGATATTTAACTTAAACAATTATATCAATCTTATGCTTGTCAGTAAGCAATAATGTAACAGCGGGTCCAAAGCTGTAGCTTCAATAGGACACAGTAATGTGAAGGCAGTCTTCAGTATGTTACCATTTATCTGCTTCTCAGCACTTTATATACCTGTTGCCATGTCTCATAATCTGGACCTTATATTCAAATAAAATGGTACTCATATTCACAAACTCACGATGGAATCGAGAAAGATGTTGTAACGATGGTATTCTGGTTTTGCATCCTCACAGAACTGTCGGAACAGCAACCGGCCGATTGGCTGTTGATCCACAACATATGAATACTTTACATCTGGTAAAAGAAGCAGTTATTTAATTCATTAACAACTTGATATAAAATTAAGAAACAACGTATAAATTGAAGGACTTGGAAAACTTTAACAGCATTTATTCCCCATTGGCCGTACTTTAACCTATTCCAATAAAACAGCTATTTGTGCTGCACCACCGTGTAAATATACTGACTGCTTGGCAACACTGTTTTGTACACATGGCTACTGATTCAGAGAACAAGGACATTAAAAAAGAGTGCACATACATTTTGGAGATTTATATTTCATAAGACACTAACTTTTAAACATGGTTCTTCTCTATTTTATTTCTTTAATTTTAAGATATTGTAAATGCGTCATATTGTGATTATAAGTATTAAAAATATATTAAAAATTTATTTATTTATTAAAAATTTATCAATTGTCATTGATAAAATTAAAATTTACTTCACAGTCCTACATAAAATATTGACGGCACTACAAAATACAAATCTAATAACAGTGACATGTGATAATACAACGCAACGAAGAAATATATAAAGAACAAGAAGAACATCATCAGAAAATGAAGAATATAAATTATAAAAAACAATAAAAATCAATATTTCAGTAATAAGTTTTAACTACATAACACCCGTTGATGGCTAAATTGTAGCCGAAACTAGTCGTGCAGTTCCTATGTAATCGAGTACTCGAAGGGGAACGTTAATTGATGTTTTAATCTTTTAACAATATTATATTTGTGATTGACGGCAATAAATTTTTAATATATTTTTAATTCTTTAATTTTGTTAAGTCACTAATATTTCAATTGGAACTTAGTATCTTTGTATAACCTGAGCACAAAGAACTTTAAACTGGAATGCCTGTTAATTATCTACAACAAAGTACTGTGCCATATTTCAGCATAAATATATGAGTATCCTTAAATATGACATTTGTTTTGCCAAATGCATGCCTATGGCTGATCAAGACCACTCACAATAGGTATATTGTTGTAATAACTTTAAATCTAACTTACCTATTTTATTCCTCAAGTCTATACATTGTGATATGTGCGGGAACTGCAAAATTTTCCTCCATTTCTTACTTTTTCCTTTGTTACTATCTGCACCACCTAAAACAAAAAGCATATATCCTTACATATGGCTCCTACTTCCAAAACCTGACGAACATGTTGTAACATCATGACATTTCACGTGTTTAATCAGCCATTCTTTTTAAATGTGAAGCTCTGAGGATGAGGACAGGGACAGTCCTCAAAATGTCAGCAAGTTTTTATCATCTGACACGGCTGACGGCCTGCGACAATTTTATTAATTACATCCCTTTTTTGCATAAAATCTCCATATTTTCATGAAATTATACCATACTTTTATGTGCCTGGAGATTCATCCAACAATTTTTAACACTTCCCAACATTACGTAAGCGATATATAGATGGAGGAATGCTTTAACACTTTAAAGCCCTCTGGTAAACTCTGTGTGACACCTGCTTTTCATCATAACTCTGGGTTTTACTCACAGAATGTAATTATGGGTTTCAAGTGATTCTCAGAGAAAACAGTGATATTTCCGACAGCATAAACTAATTTATCTTTGTGTTGGAGAAATCTTTTGTTTTCTTCAAGATACAGACTGAATTTTTAATGTTATTTATGTGAGATTTGGCTTCAAAGACTTCATATAAATCCAAATGTTAAGATGTTAACAGAGGAACAAAGAAGAACACTGGAGATGGCAAAAAATATATGTACTCAGAGCAGTCACAGTATACAGAGTTACAGATCATTAACATATGGAAAACTTCAGGGAACTGAAAAATCAGGTATAAACACAACAATATCAAATCATCACAGTAAGTGTATAGGACATTACGAAAGAATGCCTGAAAACTGAATCCCAAATACTCTCTTTCTCTATAAAGAAGTTTTAAGAGTGCCATGAATTTCTATATTACATTGCTTATTCACCTGTAACCGTTATCAATCATAATTAGAATTGAAGATATCCGTCTTCTGGGTTGTTGCGCCCTGATGACGGAGGCAGGATGACCTCTGAAACGTTGGTTAACATCGACCAGACTACATAGCGCAACAACCCAGAAGACAGAAATCTTCATACTCTGATGACGGAGGCAGGATGACCTCTGAAACGTTGGTTAACATCGACCAGACTACATAGCGCAACAACCCAGAAGACAGAAATCTTCATACTCTGATGACGGAGGCAGGATGACCTCTGAAACGTTGGTTAACATCGACCAGACTACATAGCGCAACAACCCAGAAGACAGAAATCTTCATACTCTGATGACGGAGGCAGGATGACCTCTGAAACGTTGGTTAACATCGACCAGACTACATAGCGCAACAACCCAGAAGACAGAAATCTTCATACTCTGATGACGGAGGCAGGATGACCTCTGAAACGTTGGTTAACATCGACCAGACTACACAGCGCAATAACCCAGAAGACGGATATCTTCATACTCACCGCTGCGAGAACCTCAAGTCTTACATAATTAGAATTCATAACGCACACACCATTGGTTTATTTAACATGTGTATGACTTGTTTTCATATGCTTGTACTTTTTTGGACTAAAAATGCAGATATATAAGTATGGTCATGTTTAGGTTTGTACCCTCTTTTCATGAGGCGACATTTTGTGGTGTGCTGTCATGTTTTTTTTTTTTGGTAAATTAGGGTGTGCCATGTGTGAAAAAATGTTGTGGAACACTGCTACAAAGAGGCAGAAGAATCAAGGGACATTCAACAAAGATTCCTGTAATAGAATAGACCAAGAGCTTAATCCATGATTTTGAAGATGATGGGTACTGTAAGCGATGAATTAAACTTCAAGAAGATAAGGTAGGTAAGATAACCAATATTAATCTTATTTAATGAAAAACACAGATTAAGTAACTTATGATAGCTAGCCTTATTTTCAAATGATAACATTTAATAACTAGTCTCACTTCCAAACGAAGGAACAGAACTATTCAACAAATGTAAGATATTGTTAGATTTTGTATTCTATAGTATGTAATAAAACAATGATACCACCTTCAATTAACTAACTAAAATAATCTCTCAAATCCAAATATTTTCCTCGTTACCATAGTTTCAAATTCTTCTAATTTATGTCCTTCCCTCACGATAAAAGACAATATTTTATGCAGTAAATTCCTAATTATCTGTGTGCAGATTGTATGGTGTGTGGATAATCAATGCATGACTTCTTTTTTACAAATGTAGACAGGATATTCTGGATATTTATTTGGTTGAGTTCTCCATACAGTGACCTGTAGCCGCCTAACACCGGATTTTTGCAGCCACAGTCCTCCATTAACATTACTTATTTTTATTATTATTATTAAGTGTTCTGTCTTACGACAGGTCCATTGCTCTGCCCAAAAAGAGCTCTCCAGTTGTCCCTATTCTCGGCTTCTCGCTTTAATTCCTGGAACGTCATCTTCTTTCCTTGTTTAAGGTCGTCGGTTAGCTGTATCAATCTTCTTCCTAGTCCTCGCTTTCCTTCAACCTGGCCTTCGATGATATCACTCAGTAACCCATTCCTTCTCATAATATGTCCCAGCCAGTTAGCTTTCCTTCGTGTAATCGCCTGCAGAATGTTTCTTTGCTCGTTGGCTCTCCTCAATACTTCTTCGTTGGTCACTCGATCCGTCCACCTGATCTTCTCTATTCTTCTCCAACACCACCTACACCTTATTACTACTGTACCTTCCATACCAATTCCAATCCTAAATTCATAATCTTACTCTGCCATTTGCATCTTATTTTATACAGGAAATCCCCTACATTCCTGATATCCATATATTTAGTATAACTTACTACTTTCTTGAAGTTTAACTCTTCCCTGACAGTACGCAACTTATTCCTGAATATGTAGATACATGTTAACCAGGTTTTGGACATCATTCAACACATTCTTTGAGGGGGGAGACGGTTGGTTTTGGGAGTGTCTATGAAAGATGTGGTTGAATAACACTTTTCTGTGGCGACTTATGAACAGCATCAGCGCGGGGGTTTATTCCAATGGTCATGGTGGTGGAGAGGGTATGCTACAGATGTGTTCTATATTTTCCAAAATATTGATGGCTTACAGTAATTCTATTACTTTGTACTCTGTGTCAAGTAAAAATAATAGTTAACATTTGTGGATCATATATGAGACGGCTAAAAATCATATGAAAATAGTACTGACAATAAAACAGACTCAAGTTACTTGAAATACATGAGAATGGCAAATCAGTGATAGAACAGCCCAAGACTATGGGTAAAGATTGAGTAAGTGCATCCAAGAAACAATACTACCAAGATAACATTTTCAGATCTCTCACCAATGACAACATTACAGCGTTGTGTAAAAAAAATTATGATCCTGGATCCTATATACGGCATATCTTGTGCATGGTTTTTGATTCCAGTAACACGGGTTCAATAGTGGAGAACACTTCTTCCGGATGATTTGCAAGCCTTCCTAACAAAGTCCAAAATTACTGACATGGTGTGTTCTATGAGAAGTTATGAAAACATTGATGATAATGTTGAAGAATGGCTACAGTGTGATGTGTGTAAAGTGGGCTTTTAACACATAAAATACACAGACATCGTCAATGCTACTGCAAAAACAGAAGGAAGAAGACGAGAGTGGGGAGAATGAGAGCAAGATTTGAACTACCATGAGAAGGATTCTAAATAGTTCACAGAAACAAGCAATCATTACAAACTATTTCTCAAAATAAATTTTAGGTAAGAAAAACAAGAGAGAGATGAAAAAAACTGTGAAATTCTCTTCAACTGCCTACAGTGCAGTGTCTAACTTTAAAACTTCTTACTTGGCTACCTGCTTTTATTGCAAGGTATGTCACCATCCTAACAAAGCACTGGTCTTGCAATGTATTTCATGCATTTTACTTCCCCTGATTTGTGGACAAAATTGTGTGCATTTCTCATCTATTTCTCAAGCTTTAGATGCATTGCCCATCTCATATTTCTTTATTTAATCACCTTAAATTAATAATACAGAGCAAAGAATATCCTCACAGTGTAACTTTCTACAACCTAACGTATAACTACAGTTTTAGTTTTTCAGACGGACGATGAGAAAATAATATTGATTTATTCCTTCTGGAAGAATAGACTAAATTTTTAAAATCCACCGTAATTGTTTACATCCAAATCCTCAGCAACTGACTTCATAATCGCCTTGTCATATCGTATTTTCGTATTTCATAGACCGTCTTTATGTACTCTAAAATTAATGGCTGAATTATAGAATGTATTTCGCGGCAACGAAGGTACCGATGTTGATATTCCGGTTTGTCACGCTGTGTGAACGTGCATGTACGTACCACCGTTTCGGAAGAACATACCGCCTCCGTCTTCAGCTGACGTATGTGGACACAGTATAAATATAAACAACAAATACGAACAATTGTACTTTATTTCTGTCCATACAACACAGACTTTCACTTATATTAGGTACTTATTACTTCGTACCACTTCTGGATCATCTGCCAAGAACGTATATGAACAGGTCCCAGTCCGAGAAGAGAAAAGGATGGAAGGATCCTGTTCATATGGACCTGTCGTCAGACAGAACACTAAATAATAACTACTATAATTTTTTTTTAAGTTCCCTTGTAACTTTCATTGTTTTAAATGATGCTACTTTACACAGCAAAATGTAATATTACCCTATGAAGTTCATGGCAGCTCTTTTCGTTCAACCTACTTTAACAGCTCCGTATCTATCTTCCTATGCAGTGGTCATCTTCTTTAGCTACATAATTCACTCACTGACTGCTTATTAGTTTCCTTAACAATGCTCTCTCACCTGTACAGATTACACAGCAACGAATGGGCGGATGAATGCTAATGATTAACTGATGTGGAAGAAAAAACGTCTGGATTATTCCAAAGTACAATCTTAGGGTTTGTCTGGAGGGAACAAGAAAAATGATGGAACATATTAAGAAAGTTGCCTCTGCATCAAGAGGAAAGAAAAAGTACTCATCCCTCTAACATGCTATACTGTGGTTACTTTCTCCATCAGGATTACCTGTCACATATTTATCTATCATACCAGTTCGAAGCACAATGTTCCTACCAATAGTCATCAAACACAAACTCTGCAAGTCCCTCCAACAATTACAGCAATGGGCTGGCTGGCTACTACTGAGTCAGCATGCTACAGGTGTTTATTTTTGTCTTTAACACTTTCCATATCATTTACCAAATTTCAACAGCACAGCAAAACATCAGTGGTATTCACAAACCATTATGTTCAGTAGAACTCCATCTCTTCATGAAACATTCATCGTTCAATAACCATGTATTTGGCTTCCTTTGTGCACATATATATCATGTCATCTATTGCCAAATATATCATGAAATTTGTTTCAATTATGTTTACTAGTCTTATCGCATAGATTGTAAAATAAAACAAGAATAATTATGATAAACTAACCCAATCTGTCACCAAATTCAGACTTTTCTAAGAAATGCAAAAGTATAACATAAACTGTCTAGCATAATTAAAAACATCTGCAGATGACCACTGTAACTACATCAAAACATAATTTCAACTGTACATTTCCCACAAATGGAATTAAACGAAATGTTATTTTTCCTGATCCGATTTTCTGTGCTTTCAACTTTCACCTATAAACAGTTATGTTTGTTAATGACATCTTATTGAGATACCATCCAGAACCTCATTCTAAGATACACATGCAATACATCCTGAACACAACCACCACAAACAAATGTATCAACAGCCTACAAATTTTTTATATTTCTTTTTGGTTGTCTGCACGAGTAAATTCAAATATGTGAAGAAAGAAACACTTACGTTGTTGATCTAATGCAAACAGCTGCTAACTTGCGTTCACAGAATATAGTTTTAAAAATATATCTGAACGGATTAAACTGCAGCACTTTTCCAGCATACGAATGTCCTGCACTTCATAACTAACGTTTCAAGTAAGAGCACTTTTCATGAGAATATCTTTGACAGATATGGAATTAGTGTCTGCAAGAAATGAGTACTGAACAGAATGTGTGCAACTATAAAACCTTGGTCTATCCTTATAAATACTAGATAATTATTAATACAGTACTCAGCCATAATCCTGCTCCGAAGGCCCTTCGGAGCAAACGAAACTCACATCCACATTTGAAAATAATCTACGTACACCATGACCTAGAAAGCTCTCCTGTTAAAATAATGTTGCGCTTACCTTCTCTCGCTTTTAGATATACAGTATTTGCAACAATATTCTCTAATTCCATGAGTTCCAGTTTGCTTGATTTCCCGATCCCCGGGCCGATATCGACCCTGTCCCATCAAAATGTTTACTTCAGTTCGGGTGTGGTGGAGCGGGGAAGATGGCGACCGAGACCTTCACCTGAAACGTCAATTTTTATTATGTGAATTTTGGTAACCTATCATCAACGTTCAGTGACAAATTCACTACATTAAACATGAATACTATAACTACCTCAAAATGTACTACGCAACAACAGATGCGTAACGGAAGTCTCCAGTCACAGGTTTCAGAACGGGAGAGCTAGGCTACACACATGCAGGCCTAGCACTGCCGGCTAGATCGTCTGCTTGTGTTCACAGATTACTATTAGCCGACAACAACGCTGACATTCACATGCCAAAGCCTCCTACGATCACTACGTAATAAAACCGCACATGTCTGGTTCCTTCAAGATGAAATTTGTAATTCGTACCGGAATACGATTTTTTTTGCACATGCTATCTTTGCAGTTTCTGAATTATGAATAAATACTATGCTCATATATATATTATTCATTGCCGAAAAACGAGCACTATGCAGCATATTTGCTTGTCTGTATAAGAAGAAAAACAAATAATCTTAATATTTCCCTTAATGCCCTAATCCATGTGAAGGAAAAGTGTATTAATGTTCGTATCCAAAACAGAACAGCATAATCGAACATCCAGGCTTCCAACTGAATCACAGCCTTCGTGCTGTCGAGAACTGTCCTCCCTTAATCCACATGGCCAGTGTTGAGTTCTCATGTGTTACGTCATGTAATTACATCTGTTGTAGGATACAGGGGTTCAACACACTGCCCTTACTGAGATACGTTATCGGAGGCAAGCAAAGACGTCTGTCTGTCCTCGTTCCACACTATTATGTTGTAGACCTACTGTAATCACAGACTGTGGCAATAATTTTTTTTATCAAAAGAAGATTATTCGACAATTTTATACGCAAATACTAAAACAGCCAACTTCCTACATTCAGCAGTCCAACAAAATTTCGTTTTTAAACGGAGACCACTGTCATGTGATAGGAGGTTCTACGAATAAATTATATAAAACTTGCTTTTCTAAAAATTATTCACCCTCTCATGAATAAACACAAATTTAATTAATTTTATTTAGCTCAAATGTTTCGTGTGTCGCCGTTCAGGAAGAAATAGACGTAGCTTATGTTGCCGAATGCCAAGGTCGATGTAAAGGAAAGTTATTAATAAGGCGGTTAGATATACAGACGTAAACAGAGACTATAATAAATTCAAGTTTTTAGAAGATGGCTGTCTACTGGGTTGCAGTGCCGTGTTGCCTCCATCACCAGGGCGATATTCTACAAGTATTTAATTGTACAAATTATTAATCTAAATTGACTCTTTGATTATTTAACGTTGATTTTAGCTGTATAGGTTATTACAGCACTGAATGGTAGGTTAATTATAAGAGGAGAATTGAAAAGGACAGTAAAGGGAGTGGCCTAGACTTGTTTAACGTTATATCACAGCATCTGATTGGAGAGCTTGAGGAAAATCACAAAGACAATCGGTCAAGATAGCTGGCGGTGCCCGGGACTAATTTCAAAGCACAGGTCATCTGATTACAAAGCAAGGTTACTGACTATTCGCGGATGACTTTTGATAATTTATTTCTTAGATATAGTTAATAATATTTAACTATATTTATCTGATTAATACCAAGAGCGATTTCTATGAGCGTAAGATTTGAGGTTCTCACGGCGGTAAAGATTAAGATTTTATTATTCAGGAATGCAATTCCGTGTATACTCTATGTAGTTACCAGCGTTTCAGAGAAAGATGCTATCTGAAAATGGAGACGGTGTTTCTCCGAAATATTGGTAACTACCTACGAATCTACATGGCGCCACAGATGAAAACACTGCCGTCAGTTTGTGAACGATCTGTCGGCTTTGTAGGTATATTCCAATCTCAAAATTGTGTTTCGGAAAAGTAAAGTCCGCCACTGGGCAACCTCAACGAGCGATATGATCCCAGGTGGTGACGTCACTACTGAATAGCAATGTCAATAAACACAAAGCAGAATATTCTAAAACTGCAAGGTATAATGGAATTTGCACACCGAATACTTGGCCGATCCCAACGTTACAGATTGCTATTTTTAAAACAAAAATCCAGTGGGTTAAGTAAGGTAATCTTGCAGGGCATATTTCAAAAATAAAGACTCAAGGTAATCTTGCAGGGCATATTTCAAAAAATGAAGACTCCAAAAACACATGTTTACGAACGTATTTGTTTCTGTACGCGAAATAGGGCCCTAAAATGATGTCGCGCACTTCAGAAACATCCTCTAAAAGTGAGGCTTGAGGTTTTCATGGCTGTGAGAATGGCGAAGTTCTTTAGTGTTCCGTAAATATATACCATGTTTTTTAAAGAAACATACTGTCTCCATCTCCAGGGTTCTGAAACCTTGGTACCTACCTACGAGTTTACATGTCATCAAAACCCAGAACAATAACATCGTCACCAAAGATCTACAAGGGACGAAATTTAGAGAATAGACCACACAAGGTTCTTTCCATATAAGTGTTATTACAGCCACACGACACTAATAAGTGTAATTTGTGTGGTTCCTAGTAATTTAAGCGTTCAAAACCTGTTCCGTAGTTATAGTAACCGAGATAAATTTCAGGGCCTGTTTGTTAAATGAGATGGTAAGGCTAAAGCCTGTTTAAAATGTGAAGACTGTCACGTATGCACATCGAGAGTTAGGTATAGTAACACTGGCATATGGCCCATGTTTCATAATCAGTGATCCGCGCGACGGCCGCTGTAACCTCGGGTACACTTTGAAAAGGAAATTGTGTGATCCTCAGAAGCACTGACAAACCCCTCCTTTGACTCGAAACAAGCAGTCACTTTACCGACTGATCTGTAGTTTTTGTAAGAGAGTTTCGTGGATCGAGCCGAAGATTTCAAGCACTTCCTGCCATAAAGTCATTTCATGGTTTCGATGTCTATAAATTTCACGAAACATTACTCTGACGTACATTGTGGTTCGTCTGTTACTGCGATGTCCTTCAAAAACTCTGTGCCACACACACGCAGGCTCTACCGACTGTTAAAGTCATCAGGATATATGTTTGTGTTCATCAATATGGAAAACTCCATTTCTACTGCTGAACGCCCATCTGTATTTCCTAATGTCAAATTATTTCATGTGTGCTGTTATTCAAGGATGTCCAAACTCTCGTACTGAGGTCTCGTGAAGCTGAGTCCTTCTTCAGGAAGTAATAGTCGCTTAGCCAGTCAATAACTTTCCTGTCTTTCATAGAACCGAAAGGTTCAGAGTCGTGTTCGTAAGATCGGCTACTGGTTTCTGTCTTAAGCTAGGTAAGTCCAACTCATATCTCCACGCCCTATTTCCGAAAGATTCATTTTAATAATACCTTCTCACCCACGGTCAGCTTTCCCAAGCGACCTATTCCCTTCAGATGTTCCTATCTCATCCTCCTTCTTTTGATCTCCATAATAAATATATGAGTATAAATTATGAACCTCTCGTCATGCCTCCATCCACATGACTCTACGTTTTTAACAATTCTTTTGAAAACTTAAATAAACGTATCCACTAGTGAAAGGTACACCGAGAGGTTAGTAAAGTGCTCGACTATGGGAGGAGCACAATGATTTCTGTTTGCATTAAATGCACACTTACTTTTGAGACAATTCTGTCTCCTGACAAACGAGTACCTGTACCCGGATGTTCTTTCGTAGGAGCTGAATTGCTACGCTAAGTACGCTTGGCTCTTTATCTCCACAACACGCCTTCTTAATACATTGATTAGGCATAGGAAAAATTTATTTAACAGTGTAACCGTTATATTTAAAGCCATGAGTGTTGATTGATGATATGGGAGGGGTATGTAGAATGCATAAAAAAATGTGGATAAGAAACTTGTATGAAAGAGACTAGTTGGAAGACTTGAGCTTAGATGGGAGAATGCTATTAAAATTATGATCTGATTGGGTGTGAGGCTATAAACTAGATTCATTTGCCTCAGAATAAGTACCACTGGGCCGATTCTTATAAACACGTAAATAGATCATTGATTTCCATAAAAGGCGGTGATTATTAGCTTCTCAAGGACTTTGCTCCATGGTGTTACAGAGACTTGTTTCTTTCTGACGTCAAGAATTTACAGAAGTAATTGAAAATCGTAAAAGTAAAGTTTGTCCCACTATACGCCATGTAGGCGTTTGGGGGGAGTGGAGGTATATCCCCTCTCTTCCTTGACCTCGGCACTAGATGGGGGTGAGTGGTCAGCATCACGCCCCGGCCGGCTTTACCCCCGGGAAAGGACCCCGGTACCCATTGTAGAGGAGGCTGGGTGGGCCCCAGAGCCGGTCTGGACGCAGAGGCTAGAGGAAAAATCACCTGCCCCTACTGAACAAAACGACATATGAAGATGACTGATTTCTGGGAACGTCTAATATATCGGTTAGTGTCTACAAGACTACGCCGTGCATCTTCAAACCTGAAGAACCGGAGTATCTCCGTACATAGCCTATAGTCAATAAACCAACAACCTTCTAACCCCTGTAGTTAACAACTATAGTTCAGATACTGTCAAAGACTCTGACACTAAGCCTCTTATTATAATTTAACACGCCGCAATAAGAATATTGCGTTTCTGTTCCTGTCTCAAGGTTTCGCACTCTCGCCTGTTCCATTTCAGAATTAATTTAGAGACAGCAAAACTTCTCGAGACGTGGCAGGATTCCTTTGTTGGGGGCTCAGCCTATCACACACAAAATATACAAACATATACAAGAGGTGGACAAATACCCACATTACGAGTGGGAAAAAGTTCCCGGTATCCACTGTAAAGGAGGCTGGGTGAGTCCTGGATATGATTTATGCGTGGTAGCAAAGAGAAAAATCCGTAAAGTGTAATTTTTTGACTTTGTCTACAACTTTTCAGAAGCTGGATCTTCTTCCGTCGAACAACGGCAATCATCTGAGGGAGATAATTCACGCAGATGATTGTCATTGACCGCTGTTGCTCGCTCCGGGCACTGATACGTTGAAACTGTCCAGGTCTGAGGGTACCTCAACCATGTGTCTGCCCCTTTTACCTGAAGACTGAAGAAGATACTTTAGAACTGAAACATGTCGTGTAAAAAGTGATGTTCTAATGTAAATCGAACATTTCGATAGAGAACATCAGTTAATATATTTTAAATATTTAAATGTTAATTATAGTAATATTTTAATATTTAATAGGAATTTTATTGTGATTAGACTGACAAGATTTAAACAAATATATATTTATCACAATATGACGCAACTTTATCATCTTGTTGTAATTTTTATTGAAATACAGACGATGGACAAAGTCCAAAAAAATACCGCTTTTACATATTATAATGCATTATCGTTAGAAATCTTCCGACTTCAGAAAAATTTGTAGCGTCTGACCCTAAATCGAACCCTCGTCATCCAGTTCGTTGGTTGTCCTTTAATGATTGAGATGACGTGGAACTGAGCACAATAGTAATGCGAATGCCGCAGTGATCAGGCCACGCTATTTTAGACGAAGAAAGTATGCAGCGTCGAAAAACGCGAGAAGATTGTCATGACTGCCTCCAAGGCGATAATTAATTAATTTCTGAATTACGTATTTGCTACATTATATATTTGTACGCTCTATGTTAATAACATGAACTAGGCCTACTGTGACTTACGAGAATTTGTTAAGCTCTGGGGAATCGTTCCGTGTTGCATTTGTCCAGACGTGAGGACGAAAGTCGCGAATTATTATGCGCACTCGCCGAGCTCATGGCTGAACGCGGCTTTACGATGGGTCAAACCCCTGTCCAAGAAGACCTAGAAAATGTCTGAACGATTCATTGTTTCTGAATTAAATCTGGATCTATGGGAGATAGGAGTTGAAGGAGACTGGATTTTGTTGGCCCAGGACAGGGTCCGGTGGAGGGCTTTGGTTAATTCGGTGATGAACCTTCGGGTTCGGTAAGCCATCTAGTTAGTTAGTTAGTTAGTAAACGCCAGCAGATCTAATACGTGAAATTCAAGGAATAAAACATATGTTTTTGACACAACCTGGTTCCAACGGATACCCAAATAAATTTAAAACTGATTCTACAACATACCTTTCCAGTTCAACACATTTGCTCACGCCTAGATAAAATAATTCTCTTTTATTAATTACCAATGTCAAGTTATAAATTTAAGCTTCAGACATGTTACCGTGTGGTACCCATTTTTATATTCCTTCTTGTTTTTTTATTGTATTTTTTTTTTCCCCCCCCCCCCCCGGTCAAAGAAGGTCTATTATAAAACGTAATTTTACATATATTTTTTTACACTGAGAAAATTTTCGGGGCAAAGGCAGCTTTCCGTTCAATACAGGACCCGTTTTAGACAAAATTACTTCATCATTAAGCCTTAGAAAAAAAATCTTACGATAGATTTTGTCCGATGTTGACACTTCAACAGCAACCCTAATCAAGATGAGTTTCATCATCGACAAGAGTCACTGGGCCACCTACCCCCCTCCACCTCCAGCCACAACGTCTGCACATGGTTGTCTCTACACGCCCATAGCACCAAGATTAACCGGTTGTATCACCAGTTGCTGCTTCTTAGCTCGTGCAGTAAGCTTTGTGGTGAGTGGGATGGACAGATGTTAGGGCGAAGTTCGTAGCACCACGAAAAATATTTCCGAGTAAAAGTTTTACGTGATCAGCAAGTGATAGCCATAAGATCATACACGATTGTATTAATTTCATTGTCTCCCATAACAGGATATGAATTCGAATATCTGTCAAGTGAACTGAATATTAATAACTGCATATACATCGCATTATTTTACAAAGTTTTAGAAACCAACTCCTTGTTTGCATATTTTACTTAAATTACAAAATATTTATAATTTATAAACCCATATTTATTTTTTAAAAAAAAACATCAAAAACCATATACTTTCCACAAATTTTAAGTACAACATAATATTTTTTGCTAATCTTAACAAACGAAACACGTGACGTTACTTTAAAACCTGGTACGAATTGAATTACTACCAAAGGCTGAAACAATTACTTTAAAGAGCCCTCGATCTCATATCACTTTGAAAAAAAAAATCTGAAAAACCTTAATTTAACTAAACTAATATTTGCAATCGATAATACATTTAATATATCGCTGAAACCTAATGGCTCACTCCCAGCTGAGATTATTTTGGGTAATTGCCATGTGTTTCTTCTTCGTTGGTTGTGCAAACGGAGCAAGAAGTCAGAAAACAAACCACATAATATCAAAACAACATCGAGAAAAGAAGGCTCACCTCGTTAAGAAATACTTAAAGCGTCTGAAGAAGCCAGAGGGTCTAGTGAAGCTTGTGGACGGTAGAGGAGACTATGAAGGTATGCTAATGGAAACCAGTCTATATTATAGTGCACGAAAGAAAAGACCACATGTTAGTCATTATTTCTTAATACAACAAGCTGCTAATTACTTCATTTGTAATTCTCTCTTCGACGCCATGTTTACAGTTACAAAATACCAACACAGCATCAATTTTCCATGACCAGAACCATCATATTGGGATATACAGATCCAAACAACACGTTTGTATATATTACAAAATGCATAGCGTAAAAAATATCCACTTGATTATTAATTGGCTTCGAGTTAAATGAACATCAATTGTTATTTCCGGCTATCAAAAGAATAATTACAAAAAAATTGAAAATAAACTTGAAGTTTGTTAGTGGCATTTCCTTCACGCTACGTGCAATGACTATACCGCTGTAACTCGTGGTGCTGTCAGTAGCAAAGCGTGACCTACTTTAACGTTCCTCACATTACCACAATACTGTAATAAGTCTGGTTCCGCCTGTTCATATTTAATACTAATATTATAATTAATGAACATTGCTGTCTTCTGGGTTGTTGCGCCGTGTAATCTGGCAGATTTCCACCGACGTTTCAGAGGTCATACTGCCTCCGTCATCAGGGGCGATCGCAGCATGACCTCTGAAACGTTGGTTAACATCGACCAGACTACACAGCGGAACAACCCAGAAGACAGAAATCTTCATACTCACCGCTGTGTAAACCTCAAACCTCAAATCTTACATTATAATTAATGTTTATGTAATTACTTTGTCGTAGTTATGAATCTGGTTTTAATCTAAGTTCCACAAAACAGTCAATACAATGACTCGCTACGGATTGAATGACAAGTTTCGATTTTTGGCTGGGGTACCAAACTGGTCCGTTCTTGGGTTTACGCAGTCTTCCATCGAATGGGTATCGAATGTTCTTTGTCTTCGAGAAAGCGGCCGGAGCGTAAAACTGACTTCTCACCGCCATATAGTGCGTCGAACTCCATTTTAGCTCTCTCTGTTCGCACTCAGCCCCTGGAAGTCAGGAGCAGAGACAGATTTTATCTGTATCTTTACCACACAGAACAAAGAACAGTCGCTTAAGCAACAGACAAACCAAACAGTGTTAAAGAAATGGATATTTTGATGGAGTGGAAATCACGTGACCTAGAAATAACCTAATAAACCAAAGCATCAATAGGATATTTAAGAATTGTTTTTCCTACTACGAATTAAAAACTACTGATTTCTGTGGGAACGCTGTCCTAATTGCAAATGCTTTATATTGATGAAAGATATGACATAATGAATGATGAATAGTAAGAACTCGGAAGGAGGCGGGTGATTCTTATTTGACTGTACCTTAACGGGTTTTGCCTGGATAGACTGAAGAAATGACGGAAACCCTCAGTGAGGCAGTGCCACGATCGGGATTCAATCTGGGTACCTCTGAAATACAACTTAGGAGAGTCAACGTTGCACTAACCTGGACGGTGCATATTTTATTTATTTATTTAGTGTTCTGTCTGACGACAGGTCCATATGAACAGGATCCTTCCATCCTTTTCTCGGACTGGGACCTGTTCATATACGTTCTTGGCAGATGATCCAGAAGTGGTTTGACATTGC